CATGAGTTTTAAAATATCGGCATATCGGATATCGGCCAAAATCCCAAAATCGTGCATCCCTAATCAGAAGGTCTGATGCTACGTTCACAGCGAACGCCATCAAAGACGCTTCTGTTGCTCCATTTCTGATGCTTGTCCACATCAGTGTTTAGGAAATGCAGCGTCGTTGTGGTTTTTCAGAAGTTTCATTGATGTCCAGTTTGTTTCCTCTTCGTGCTTCTGAACCTTTGCAGACTTTTTGTCAGCATCTAAGTGTTGCTGATGGCTGCAGCATTAATAGGAGAACGACTTGGACACCATCCCCCTCCTCCTCTCTGTTAGGTCCGAGTCCCGCTGTGAAGGCAGAATTAGTCGCCCACATGTTCACCCCGCAGCTCGGCTGTGTGCTGACACCTTCTCACCATTTGTCATCCCGCCCAATAATCCAGGAGCAGCAGTCATGGGGTCGTTCATCACTCCTCCTGCTGTCCTCTAACTACAGGTCTCTCTTTCTCCGCCCCGGTGCTTTCAGAGGCTGCGTTTGTCTTCCGTTAAGCTCATCTAATATTAATGAGTCGTTAATCCTTTCTAAAGGGCTGCCGTAATGAATTGGCAGTAAAGATGGGAAGTATTGATCTGAGTTTAAGAGGAAGGCTGTGACTTTCCTCTGGTGTCTCCAGCATGAGGAGTTCATGAGTGTTTATTTTTAGGGGGGTCTTCGGTGAATTAATCGGTTTCTGTGTTTGACAGGAACGGTGATCGGAGTGGTGATCTACACGGGGAAAGAGACGCGCAGCGTTCTGAACACGTCTTACGCCAAGAACAAGGTGAGGATTTCTCAGCTTCTCTGTTCTTTGGGAGACGATTGAAACAGAGCCGCAGTTTGAACTGAAATGATTGGTCGATTATTAAAATAATCAAATCGATTTATCTCTATCTACTCCATCAAAGATCAAGTTTCAAGTATAAAACCACAACAAATATTACAAAACCCAAAGTTTAAACCTGCTTTTGTTACATTGGTAACATAATGCTTTATTTAAAATAAAAAAAGTGTTTATAAAAACGATTTTCATCAGATATATTATAACACGATATATTTGCGCGGAATTGCTTCCAGTTGACACACCTTCTCATTCAAAGAGTTTTCTTTATTTTCGTGACTATGAAAATAGTAGATTCACACTGAAAGCAACAAAACTATGAATTAACACGTGGAATTATAAACTTAACAACAAAGTGTGAAACAGCTGAAAGTATGTCGTATGTTCTGGGTTCTTCAAAGTAGCCACCTTTAGCTTTCATTACTGCTTCGCTCACTCTTAGCATTCTCTTGATGAGCTTCCAGAGGCCATCACCTGAAATGGTTCTCACATCAAAGGTGTCCCCCGGTAGCCTCGTGAGACCATCCTGATCTCGCGAGCTTTCAAGG